TTAAAACTATAGTCCAGCCCTCCAACGGGTCTGAGGGACAGTGAACTGGCCCCTGTTTAAAAAGTTTGAGGACCCCTCGCATAGATAATAAATGGATTCTCTACTACTCAGATCCCTTGAGCTAAGTGATTTGTTCTTGAAATGTCACTTAGTCCTCCGGGCAACTTTATATGATGTACATGGTATCAGCTCTGCTTCACTTAGGGTTTAATTAGCTTCCCAAGCTCTGTGTCTCTGCCTATAACTGGGGAGACAGGCTGCCCTGTAAAGTCACGTCCCTTGATGGCTAATCTCTTTTATTATGTGTACCAGTTTGGCTCTAGGGAGAGGCACATTATTCTCATGAACTGCAGGCATCTCTCTATAATGTCTTCTATCCTTGGGTTTAGAATCTTGAGTTTGGGTAGAAGTTCAATAAGGGGAGATGGTCATTCTCAGTGGTCCAGATGGTCATTCTCAGGGGTCCAGAAAAGAATCAGACCTGTTGCCTACCTTCTAGGAAGCACATTTTAAGAGACAAGACAGAAGATACAGGTTAATAAATTACATGGAAGGCACAGATACTGTAGTAAAGGCACAGTGAAGAGATGACTTAGAAGAGGGACTCTCGGTAGGAATTGAGAGAAGGCTGGATTTCAGTGGGGTCTTTAAGTCCTGCCCAGGTGGGGAGGAAAGGAGCTCTAAGCAGAGGAGCTATCCCCGTTAGTAAAGACCTGAGGTGGGAAAGTGCAGGGAATTCTTTTTTTTTTTAATCAATGATACTTTTATTTTCTAGCAACCAACAAATGGACAATGAAATCAAAATATGGTAATATTTAACATGATTTGGAAACCAAGAAATTGTAAATAACTCATTTTAAAGATACACTTTATAGACAAAGGGGCAATAAGAGCATGTGCTCAATGTAATGTAAATTAAACTTGTAGTGAAAAATCACTGTCACTAACCAGAATATAAAAATTTCACGATCATGATGGCACAAATTGTAGAAAGGATATTGTGGTAATTACATAATCTATCGTCAATTTGAGAGGATTTTTAAAAAATCATTTTATTAGGGGCTCATACAACTCTTATCACAATCCATACACACATCAATTGTGTAAAGTGCATTTGTACATTCATTGCCCTCATCATTCTCAAAACATTTCCTCTCCACTTAAGCCCTGGGCATTCGGTCCTCATTTTTCCCCTCCCTCCCCGCTCCCCCCTCCCTCATGAGCCCTTGATAATTTATAAATTGTTACTTTGTCATATCTTACCCTGTCCGACGTCTCCCTTCATCCACTTTTCTGTTGTCTGTCCCCCAGGGAGGAGGTCACATATAGTTCCTTGTAATCGGTTCCCTCTTTCCTACCCACTCTCCCTCTACCCTCCCTGTTTCGCCACTCACACCACTGGTCCTGCAGGGATCATCCACCCTGGATTCCCTGTATTTTCAGTTCCTACCTGTACCAGTGTACATCCTCTGGTCTAGCCAGACTTGCAAGGTCGAATTCGAGTCATGGTAGTGGGAGCGGGGAGGAAACATTTAGGAACTAGAGGAAAGTTGTATTTTTCATCGTTGTTACATCGCACCCTGACTGGCTCCTCTCCTCCCGCAGGGAATTCCTCGCTCAAGGAGTGATGTCATGGGGTTGAGGACAGAGATGAAAATATTTCTAACAAGTCGATTCATGACAGATGAGATACAGACTGGGTTTTTTCAATATAGTCAGCCCTGATCCTGATTTTAGGGTGCCATAATGGCACTGTGGCTTAGCCATTGGGCTGCTAACCCAAAGTTGGTAGTCCAAATCCACCAACCACACCAGGGGGAGAAGATGAGGCAATTCCCATGAAGATTTGCACTCTGAAACCCCCTACGGCAGTGGGCTCAACCTTCCTAACGCTGAGACCCTGTCATATAGTTCATCATGTTGTGGTGACCTCCCAACCATAACATGATTTTCTTTCTTTTTTTTTTCCAGCCATTTTATTGGGGGCTCATACAACTCTTATCACAATCCATACATACATCCATTGTGTCAAGCACATTTGTACATTTGTTGCCCTCATCATTCCATACAAATATTTTCGTTGCTACTTCATAACTGTAATTTTGCTACAGTTATGAATTGGGCGACCCATGTGAAAGGGTCCTTCAACCCCCAAAGGGGTGGCAACCCACAAGTTGAGAATCGCTGCCCAGTGGGCTGTTTCTAGTTGCCCCCACCATGCTGATGTGTAGTGCCATCTAGTGAAGGCTCTGGTGGGGGTGGTGCGGGGTCGAGGTTGGGTTGCTAACCGAAAGGTCAACAACTGGAGCCCACCAGCCACTTCAAGGCAGAAAGATGAAGCTGTCTCTTCTGTAAGGAACATTCTGTTCTGTCCCAGAGGAGCACAGTGAGTCTAAGTCGGCTCAGTGGCAGTGGGTTTTTCAATAGCTTATCTGCCTGGCACCTGACTCGGGGTTTCATAAAGCTTATTTCTCATCGCCAACCCCATACATAAAGACTTACTCTTCTCTTACAAATGGAGAAAGACAGTAAGTAGCACACACCCAGAACGCTGCAGCTGGTGGAGGAGGGAAGTGCAGGATTCATGCAAAAGTCAATGTGGTACTACTTGCTCCCCAGCATCTCCCCAAGTCCAGTCACATGGGTCACACCCTCGACCTACTAGGATTCTGTACTTACTTTTTTCTTTTTGGTTTAAGAGACAATAGAAACAACTTTTGCACGTTGCTGGAACATTATACATTTGAATTCTTGGTTGCAACTACAGAACTACATATATTATACTTTACAGGCCCTATATAGAATTTCAGGGATAGTTTTACTTATACAAGATATTTATCTTATGTAGTGACATTAGCACTTAATACCCAAGTGAAAGTAAACTCTTATAGTAAAAATCCATGTCCTGGTGTTTGCCTTAAGAATAGTCACTGCCATTCCAGGAAAGGGAGCCAGGGACGGGCCTCCTCCCCTTAGAGTCCCTGGCTCCTTGGAGCTGTGGAAACTTTCCTGGGTGCAGTTGGGAAAAGACCTCCTTGCCCTTAACTCTCTAACACCATGCTTCTCAGTCATCCTTTCATCTCTTTCCAAGGGATACTTACTCACCAGGGCTGGGTCCTAGAGGGCTGTCTCCATCTCAGCTGTTGTTAAGCAACTGCCTTGCACACTGACATGTTCCCTTGGTGCAGTGTCTAGGCAGGTTCTCACTGGAGCGCGCTCTCCTGTGCTCGTTCCCAAACCCCTCATACTTCACAGACGTTTTCTTATGCCTCTGGTGCTTCTCTTTGTGCCTTGCCTTTTCAAGAAGTCAGGAACCCTGGTCAGTGGGATAACATTAGAGACCCCGATAGAGGTGATTTTATACCAGAAGGAAGGTGGCATTGGCTTTACTGGTAGAATAAGGCTGATACCCCTTCTTGCTTTGCTCAGACCTTTGCAAACATCCTTTACTTAGTGGTGGGTAAGTGTGGAAGGTATGTCAGTGAACTAACCATTGCTGCAGAACAAACCCCCCCAAAGTGTCGTGGCTTTGAATGACACCATTGTTTCTCATGAATCTGCAGTGGCTGGGTGTTTCTGCTGCTCTGGGCTGGGCTGATCTCAGCTGGACTTCTTTTGTTTCTCTGACCAGCGGGGAGAGGATGTAGGTGGTATAGGATGGTCTCAGCTGGAAGAATCCCGTGCTCTCCCCTTGTCTCTCACTTCCCTCCCACGGTTAGTCTGGTCACGCCCTCATGGCACGACAGAGGTACAAGAGCAAGCAAGCCCAATCATGCAAGAAAGCAAGTGCCAGTGCATACACACTTTGAAACTTGCTGACATCCCGTGTTTGCTAACATTCCATTGGCCAAAGAAAATGGCCTTGCCATACCCAGCAACAGAGTGGGCAGGGCCTACGGAGTAACAGGCTCTAGGAAAGCCATTAATTGGGGCCATTAAATGCAATCAGTGTACCAGTCAGTACCCCTTGATGGGAAAGACAACCTACAGATTTGTCTTTCTAGGTCAGGTTTGTTCTAGAAGGGAGTGGGAGAAAACCCCGATAGTGATACTGTGCGTTGACGCACGCTACATCCCTGTGATAGGGCCAGGCACTGGGCTGCTCTGTATGCAGCTCTTACCACAACTCTGCACGGTAGGTGGAAGACTGGAGCACAGAGAAGTGGAATAACTTGCTCATGGTTACTCAGCTACTACGTTGTCACACACGGATTAGAACCAGGTCTGTCTGACCCCAAAGCCCAGGTTCTTTTCTCCATGCCTCACTCCCTGTCTGCAGCATCAGGTTCTGCTTTCCACCACCCTCCATTCCCCATCCCAAGTGCTGCAGTGATCCTAGTGGAATTAGGCAACTCTTCAGGAAACCCAAACTCAGCATTGACGGAAGTTGTGGCCCCTCCTAGACATGCTGGAGAGGGAGGGACCATCTTCTTTTCGACTTTCCAGATTTGGGGGCATCAGAGCATTGCTAGGCATTTGAGCATGGCCTTGGGAGTCAGGCTGATGGGAGTTCAAGCCCTAGCTCAACCACTCACCAACTATAACCTTGGGCAACTTATTTAACTTCTTGAAATCTGTTTCTTCATCTTAAAAAAAAATGGGAATAATACCACTTAGTTTGCAGAGCTGTTACAAGGACTAAAATTATGTATGAAAGTGCCTAACACAGTGCCTGGCATGTAATAAGTAAAATGAGCATCACTATTATTATTTCTAAGTAGAGCCTTTCCCCCTCTGGGAAACCCTGTTTCTGTCTGTTGGACAGGTCCCCCCCACCTCCAGCCAGTCTGTGCAGACTTGCTGCCTGCTGTGTCACCGGGAACGCAAAGGCTGGGAAGAAGGTCCTTCTCAAAACGGACTGGTGTTGCAGGGTGAGAAGCTGCCCCCTGACTTCATGCCAAAGCTCGTCAAGAACCTCCTAGGCGAGATGCCCCTGTGGGTCTGCCAGAGCTGCCGGAAGAGCATGGAGGAAGATGAGAGACAGACAGGTCGAGAACATGCGGTGGCGGTATGTACCTGTGAAGAGAGGGTCCCTGAATGCAGGAGGGCTGCCTCCCCGAGAAGTCAGCCTGTCCCTGGCCTCCTAGGTGAGAGGCTGCTGGGTTCACTGACACAGCATTACTGGCTTGGGTTCAGATTTCAAGGAGGGAGAAAAAGCCTTCAGGCAGCCCCTCAGGACTGTCTGCACAGTGCAAAGGCCGCTGACCCAGTTGCTTTCTGCTCTGACCACATGAAAGCCAGTGGGTTGGGTTGAGGGTCTGCGAGGCACTTTAATCAGAAGGCCTCTGAGATCACGAGGAGTCGTCCAAGTTGGCCATCTCATGACCTTGGCGGCCAAACTTCCTTTGCTTCTCATTCTCCTTTTACCCAGAATTGGTTCAGCTTCAGGACTCCTGGCATAAAGACCCCCTTTCCCGACCCTTCTGTGGCCAGCTTTCATTATTCCCCAAAGGCCACAGTTCACAGGCAGTCTCTACTGATAGCCACACACTTTATTTGACTGGCAGCTCCTCATCCCCTGCACAACCAAGGCCTGGCCATCATTGCTCCTCCTCCATGAGAGTGTGGTCATTGCACTTGAAGGGCACCGTACGTAGCCGGGGAGGAGGGTCTCCCTGGGTGGGCTTAGGCAGCATAGGGCCAACGATGCGGATACTTGCAGTTTCACTTTGTGCTTTTCTCTCCCCCTTCTCCAGATTTCCTTGTCACACACATCCTGTAAATCACAGTCTTGTGGGGGTGACTCTCATTCCTCTTCGTCCTCCTCCTCTTCATCCTCATCCTCGTCCTCCTCCTGCCACGGGAACTCAGGGGACTGGGACCCCAGCTCATTCCTGTCAGCACATAAGCTCTCCGGCCTCTGGAACTCTCCGCACTCCAGTGGGGCCATGCCAGGCAGCTCTCTCGGGAGCCCTCCTGCCATACCCGGTGAGTTTCCAACTCGAGAGAGCCAGGCCTTGTCTAACAAAGAACTCTCGGCTGAGGGGTTAGTTGCTGGAAAAGATAAGTCTGGGGAACCCATGAACGTAGAGAGCTATGGTTCCTATACCACAAACAAATCAGAAGCTGAGTTACGGTAACAAGTACGAGTGGAGATGTGATGAGTGAAGCACAGCAGGGGACCAAGACCTTGACCATCTCTGAAACTCCTCTCCTCACAACTGTGCTGGTGCACTCAGCTGTCCTTGGCTCTGACAGCTGGATCCATTAGAGGGCCTGCGGAACACAATCTGAACAGAGGCCTCCAGAACGACCCGTAGGGAATTAGGGCTTCCGTCCCCAGCCTGACCCCTGTAGCACCATGTCGTTAGAGGCTCGATCCCGGCTCATAAAACCTGCCTGGGCCTGCACCATCCTCATAATTGTTATGCTTGAGTTTACTGCAGTTTATTGTCCTACTCTATTCCCTTTGTGGGTCTTCCTCCTTTTCACGGTCCTCTACCAAGCACAGTGGCCTTGTCCATGGACTGATTCTTAAAACATGTCCAAAGCACGGAAGACGAATTGTCACCGTTCTTGCCTCTGAGGAACATTCTGGCTGTACTTCTGTCAACACAGGTTTGATTGTTCTTCTGGTAGTCCATGGTATAGTCAATATTCTTCACCAGCACCATAACTCAAAGGCATCCATTATTCTTTGGTCTTCTTCATTCATTGTTCACCTTTTGCATGCATATGAGGCTATTGACAATACCATGGCTTGGAAAGGATTGATAGGTTGTTTGGGTGATTGACTGCAAACATGATGATCAGCTATATAAACTCACACCTAATTCACAATAAAAAAAATATAAAAGATAATCATACCATGGCAGGCACACTTTCCTTCTCAAGGTGACATCAAGGTAGTGCCTCAGAGGCCTCATTTTCTCTGCGGAATGAATATAAAACCCCGTTCCTATCCATAGGGTGTTGATGATTAGGATGATTATTAACCAGCTTTTTTGCACATTGAAATAGCCCTTAGAGAACCAGAGGGTAAAACTCTTGGGTTATTGATTTTCTGTGTCAAATAGGCTTTCCTGTCAGGCCTTTAGGAGTTCTACAAAGTGGTGTTGTCCCCAGAACTTGGGAGAGTTCAGCAGTGCCTTAATTCCAGAGAGAGCCATTTAAGCTGAAACCCAGGGCCACCTGTATGTCCATAGGTCTTGCCCTGGGAGATGCCCTGAGGGACACAGTACTTGTCCTTCATGCGACAATAGAGCGGACCAGAGGCTTCTCCCACAAGCCTGGGCACCACCGAGGCTCCGGGGCCTGCAGCACTAAGCAGCTGTATCTAGAATAGAGAGCTCCTCTGGTCACAGCAGCCAGGGAGCTATGGCAGTGAGCCTTCAGGCGGACCCCACACTGACCCCTTTCTCCCCTCTGCCCACAGGTGAGACTTTCCCCATCTCGGAGCACCACCGGCACTCAGACCTCACAGCCCCTCCTAACAGCCCCACCGGCCACCACCCCCAGCCAGCTCTGATCCCATCTCACCCTGGATCCTTTGGCTCACCGCCCCACCCCCACCTGCTGCCCACCTCCCCGGCAGCGCCCTTCCCTGCCCAGGCTTTCGAGTGCCCTGTTGCCACTGCCGCTGCCCCCCATACCCCAGGGGCATGTCCGAGCCCCCACCTGCCCTCTACCAGCATGCCACTCCTAAAGATACCCCCACCATTCCCGGGGTGCAGCCACCCCTGTAGCGGGCACTGCAGTGGGCACTGCAGCGGGCCTCTCCTCCCGCCGCCAGGCTCTCAGCAGCTCCCCAGCGCTCACAGGTAAGTGCACGCCAGCAATGGGCACAACACGCTGGCTGACTTGAGCTAAGACATGAGGGAAAGTTTTAAAAGGTGCCTTTGGGATACACTATTCATTTTTAACAGGTTTATTATTTTTTAAACAATTCAGAAATGTACAAAGAAAAAAAACGTCTCACACCCCAAGGTAAACTTCTATCAGGGTGATCTGTTTTCATGTTTCTATATATTAGGTCCATATTCTAAATGTATTGGGGGTAATTTTTTATTTTTCCCTCTTTATATCACAGCGAGCCCACCAGTTATTAATCATCAAGTTAATTTCAGCTTCTGGTAACCACGTGAGAGTAGAACACTCAGTAGCTGTTTTTTTTCAGAAGTAGATCACTAGGCCTTTCCTCTAAGGTGTCTCTGGGTAGACTTGAACAACCAACCATTCCGTTAACAGCCGAGCTCATTAACCCATTTAAACTTCTCCCATTACCCCAGTTAAAATTCTTCAAAAACTTTTCAATGACCACGTAATACTGTATTGTATAGCACTAACATAATTTATGTTCCCATTCTCCTGTTCCTGGATATACAGGCATTTCTAGTTTTTGAGCATTTAAGCAACTGAAATTGTAAAAGCACCCTTGCACCTAGATCTTTTGTTAAATCGGGAATGATATCCCTAACATGTGTTCCTCAGAGTAACTCCCAGTGAGCAAATTCTAAGAAAGGTTATATTAGTACACAGTGGACAGATAGAATTCTTTGGAGGAGATAGACGTATGTTTTGTGTTTGAAACAAGATGTGTGTCTTTTGCAAACACGCCATTGTGAGCAGTGTCTCTCCATGTGTATTGTTCACCCCTGGTGCTGACGGTGCTGCAGTTCTACGTCCTCTGCTTTCCCTCCACGCATGTTACATTGTGAGCACTTCCGTGGTCCTGGCAGCGCCCCAGCCCGCAGCTGTCGCCAGGGCTAGTGTCCACTTATCTGTCCTCCAGTTGCTGAGCACTTGGCGCTCCGACATTTTTAACATTATGAATAATGTCTCTAAAAATCTCTGTGCCTAAAGGCGAGCTCCTTGGACTAGG